ACACAACCATCCTCTTCCATATAAAACCATTTTAAACTTTGGTGATTCATTAAGTGACACGGGAAATTCTGTAATGCACTCACCATTTCCTCCTAATAGTCCTTATGGTTCAACCTACTTCAAACATCCCGCTGGACGTATGTCAAATGGAAGACTTATAATAGATTTTATTGGTATTTTTACTATCGATACTATTTTTTTTTTTTAAGATGAATTATTCCTTGACTGAAAGGATTATATCATGTAATATGTTTTATGAATCATGTATTCTTAATTATACTAACTTGAGATCATTTTCATTTCAGCTGTGGCATATGGACTACCAATGTTGCCAGCCTATCTAAATCTCACTAAAGGACAAGACGTGAAGAAAGGAGTAAATTTTGCATATTCGGGTTCTACAGCACTTGATAAACATTATTTTGATAAAAAAGGACTTGATGTAAAGGCAGCCCTTTATTCATTGAATACTCAACTTAAGTGGTTTCATAAGCTCAAACCCTCTCTTTGTAAAAATAAAAAAGGTTTTATCAATATACTCCTTTAATAATATTTTTCTAAATATTATTTGTATTTTTTCTTCTCAACATAACTAACAATGTTATTCCTTTTTATATGACAGAATGTGATAATTGCTTAAAAAAGTCCTTGATTTTGGTGGGTGAGATCGGTGGAAATGACATTAATGCAATTATCCCACGAAAAAATATTACAGAAATTCGAGAAATGGTTCCACGCATTGTTGCCAGAATTACCAAAATCACATCGGTATGTTGTATCAAATTTATTTCAAACTTGATTTGGATTATAATTGATTAAAAATTGATTATTTTTGTACTCTATTCAACAGAAATTAATTAAAGAAGGGGCAATACATCTAGCAGTTCCGGGGAATTTCCCAATTGGATGCAATTCGTATGTTCTAAAAACAGTAAAGAGTGACAAAAAAGAGGACTATGATCAATTTGGGTGCTTGAGATCTTACAATGCTGCCATCAGATATTACAACGACCAACTCAAAAAGGCTTTAGAGACACTAAGACAAAAGTATCCACATGTGAAGATAACATATTTTGATTATTACGGGGCTGCTTTACGGTTATTTCACGCCCCACAACAATATGGTGGGTTGTGTTTTTATTATCTTTCATTTTATGAATAATAAGTAGTTCTATGTGATTGCTATTTTTACTAGAAATTACTCTTATTATATGTTCATTAATTTGGGTAATGCAGGCTTTAATTTCGGTAAAATTGAGACCTTCAGAGTGTGTTGCGGAAAGGGCAAAGGATACCATCTGGATATACCTTGTGGATTTGGTGATGCAACAGCCTGTCCTGATCCTTCCAAACATATAAATTGGGATGGCTTTCATTTTACTGAAACAGCATATAAACTAATAGCAAAAGGATTAATTGAGGGTCCTTTTGCAAATCCACCCCTTAAATCCCCTCTTTTCAAGATACGTCGGAATTGAAGCAATCATCAAGGAAAAATTATAAGATTAGGATTTTACCCTTTACATAAAATGTAGGATTTGATGACAAAGAAATAATTTTGTACTTCTTCAAGGACTTGTTTTCTTGTCAAAGAGAAAAAGGAATAAAAACAAAAACAAAGTGCAATAAAATTTTGTTTGTTAAGACTTCCATCTTGAATTACATCAATTTTTCTTTTATAATCATGTATTAGTCCATCAACGTGTGTTAATCATTAATTTGTAATTTAATAAAAGGAACCTTTTGCACTAACACATATCCTTAAGTCTTCAAATTGCACAAGCAAAGTAGCTGCCATTTCTGCCATAGAATCAAAGTATGCATAATGCACGTAGTGGCTCTTCCCAACTTTATAAAAAGCTTTGAAAGCATATTTTATGTAAAGCATATACACTGACAGAAACTGAGAAACTTTTTACAAGGGAAAACACACTTGTAACAGATAAACTTTCCATTACACATGAATATATCCCTTCAGTTTAATGTCTGTTAAATTACATACAAGATTAAAACTTTTTAATTTCACATATACAGTGTTATATATTTGTATTTGAATTAGTTTATTTTCAATTTAAACAGAATAGTTTAAATGATTGAAGAAAATATATAGTAAACTAAATTAATCTAAATATGCTTTTACTTTTATGAACATTTTAATCAGTATTGTATGATTATGTGAGGCAATTTTGTTTCATTGGTGCGTGTGAATTGTTTAATAGAGTGAAATTTTACGAAAAAGAGTCATCTTAACATATTTTGTCTTGTTACACGAGTGTTAGATTGATTTTTAAAGAGTTTTATTAGTCCCATTCTTAACTTAGTCGTATATAATATCGTAAATTGTAATAAGAATAAATGTGCGCATGTAACTTATCTAATATTAATATGAAATCTGATAATAAAACAATTCGTTAAATTTTCTCTTTGCAATGTAGTCATTTTTTTTTCCTTTTGGTTTTTATTTTTATTATTTTGTTTTAATCTTTTTAATATATCTACTTTTTCGTTTTAGTTCTTATAATATGTTTCATTTTAAATTATTTTCTTTGAAAATATCATTTGATAAGGAGTAAAAACAAAATTTTCTACATATTATAGGACTATAATTTAACAATAAATATATTACAAATTAAAAAAAAAGATTAAAATAAAAAATTATAGAACTAAAGAAAACAAAACCTGAAAGAGCGAAAGTAAAATATAATTATGTTTATAAAAATATAAAAAATCAAGCATTCTACACCAAAATATACATGAATTTTTATAACATCTAGTTGCATAACTATGAATATAATTAATTTATATTTTTATACATGTATTTTATAGAGAATTATTTTAAATATATAATTATTCATTATTAGTATATTTTGGTAAAATAGAATAAAATGGATATTTAGTTAATTTATTAATTAAATTGTATTTCAGTAGATTGTCAACAACGTAACCAATGAATTTGTTTATTTGAGGTACCCAATAGATTATCTAAAAACTTATAAAATCTTTTGATATGTCAGATAATCAACTTGTCTGATTACATGGTCTAATATAATTAGTTAATGTTTCAATCTCCATCTATTTAATGATAATAATACATTCTTGAAATAAATGGACACACAACATTTTCTACCTTTGTCATGCATGATCAAATGTAATATGTAATGGAGAAATGAATACAAACAAAATAATGTATTCCAAGTGACAATATACAACAAAATGACAAATAACACTATCAGACAATACCAATTAAACAATATTATATACAACATTATACAACCACGTGATACCAAAACTTCACCACAAGAAATTTTCTAATTAGCTAGAAAAATTTGCTACAAAATTTATTTTTAACTAATTAGCTATAGAATAGTAAAGGAATAAAATTATAGTTAATATGTAGTAAAATAGCTAAAAGATAATATTTTTGTAGTTATTTCTTCACTTAGTAGAAAAATAATTTAGTTAGGGAAAATTTTTGTCACTAATCCCTAGTTATAAATATTAACTATGTTATTTTTTAAAATCTATTTCTTAGCTAAATTATATAACATACAATCATAGTTAAATTATAGCAAATTTATAGCAAAAAAATAATTATAAAATTATTTAAAAATTATTTTTACCAAATTTATTATAAATATATTAATTATATATATATATATATATATATAAATTATTTGAAAATAATTATAATTTTTTGAAAAATATCTAAAAAAATTGATAAATATTTAAAATTATTTTTTGTAAATTTTTTATAAATTTAAATTTGTAGGAAGTATTTAATAATTTAAATTAATAGAAAATTTTATAAATAATTTTTTTATAATTTTTTTAGAAATTAGTCTTTAAAAAAAAATTATTATATTAAAATATTTATTTAATTAAATATTATTTTAAATATAAACATCTTTAATATAATAATAAAAATATTTTTTAAAATGATCAAATTTTTATAATTTTTTAATAAAAATATTAAATTAATCTTTTTTTTCCAAAAATTTCTTCCCCTTTACCTACGTCTCCTCCTTTCACTTTCAAAAACCTAGACTACATTTACTACCGCTGTCGCCGCTCCCGTTGTCGCTACTCCCGCTGTCGCCGCTGCCGCCATTCCTGCTGCCGCCGCTCCTGCTACCGCATTATTGTCGTGTCGTTGCCACTGCCCTATAGCGCCATGAGATCTTCTCAATAGTTTTCTCCAATGTCCTTCTTGTCTCACACATTTGCTTTTCATAGGGCTAAAAACTGTGTAATCTACTTTCCTCACTGGTGTTTTCAGTTACTTTTGTGATTCTACTCTCTTCACTTGTACGATTTATGAATCATGATTAACAAATTATCCTAACAATTTGCAATATAAATTTTGATTCAATGACCTTGTTTCTGAATTGAAATGGGGTAAAATGTATGGTTTTAAACTTGGTTCACCAAAATTGTTTTTTACATAACTTTAGGGAAGAATAGTGTTATTTACCTATACTTGTATAACCTTTTTATATTTGTATGTTTTATTTGTGCATATATGACACTTTAATAAGTGATGTTTGAACTTTGAAATGATACTTTGTTACTTCAAGTTTATTTAAGGTAAACTATTGGCAATTAAATAAATTATTAATGCTAAAGGCATTTATTGATCTTCCACGTATTGAATATTTTTAGTTCTCTTTCACTTATAGGAGGTATTTATATAAGTCACACTAAATCACTTTTAGCTAAGAGAATATTCATTTTGGTAACTGACAATATTTTAGTTACGAGATGCTTAAAGTTGGAACAAAATCATGGCAAGTCACATATCTAGCTTGTGAAGATGGCTCAATATCTGATGCCAAATTTTTCCCAGTTTGTGTAATGAGGCCTGGTTGTTTTTGTTGTTGAAGCATCTTTAGTGGTCTATTTAAGAATTCTGGAGTTGGCATCACATCATTCAAATGGACTACCTCTCTAATTTCACTAACTGATGCATTCAATGCTTCAGGTGATATGCAGGTTAGCACTTTAAGAAGGTGCTTCGTTTCAGTACTTGGCTCATCAAGAGTGTAGGTTTATGAGAAATTTCTGTAAGATTATTGCAGTTTTCAGTCAATGGTGAAGCCGAGGTTCGATGCCGGTTTTCATCGAAGTCACTGCTTCCATCATTGAAATTCAACTCCAAGACTCCTATTTCAGGCAAGATCAAATGAATGAAGCTTCACATTCGGAAGAGATGCTTGCTATGTTATATTGCATGGCAGTCATGAGGCTTGTGAATGTTGCTGTTGAGAAGACGCGCAAGAAGGAAGTCACATCGATTGCAGTTGCAGCTGATGCAATTGGTATTCTGCGCATGCTTATTGATATTCAACATGAGGGATCACACCGGGAGCTTCCAACACTTAAGATTGTTCGTAGTGCTTCTGTCAAGGCACTTGATTGGTTAAAATCTTATTATTGGGAACCTCAGAGCAAAGCAATTCCTTTTCAAGGTGAAGGAATAACAAAAGTGAAGAAAGAAATTAAGTCTAAGATTCGTGAATTAGCTGTCTTCTTGAAATTCAATGGGAATGTCCAGTCAGAGGTAAAGGGAAAACGTCTGGGTCAAACATACTGAATTCCTTTTTCGACGAAATAAGCTTTTGTCTCTTATGGTTGGCAAGAGTCAAACATCACGACCTGGAGGATCTAAGAAACAGATTACGAAGATCTTGAAATATGTTCTTCGGTTATATTCTTCATTTTCTTCAGAGATTGTTTCTATGTTGTTGGAGTATCTTTTGAAAGCTTTAAGTTCCTCAGAGTTGGAAGAGAATGCAGATGATGCTTCAATTGGTCTAACCACAGAGAACGTTTTGGCTGATTGGAAGCTTATCTTACTCAAATTGTGCAATAAGGAACCAGAATTACTTCTGAATCTTCTTAAGGAAGTCCTAGATATGATTGAGAGTCAGGAAGATATGAAGCATGAAGAAGATAACCCAAATATGGGAATTTCACAATCGAGGACAAAGTTTTGGCTTTCTTCTTTGTTTGCTTGGCTTGTTGGAATTCTCAGTAAAGTTCCTTCTGCTGCAGCACATATGCCAAAAGGAGTTTTGCTTGAACTTCTTCGTAGATGTCTTCTAATATCACAACTTTTCAACAAGCAGCCGGTGGATTCAGCACTTCAGATTACAGAACTGATGGATGACATCTCCTTGATGCAGAAAGTTCAAAAGTTCTCTTACGTCAGTTTTGTTAGACAAATGACATCTAGAGGGAGTGAATAGATGCACAAATTAAAATAGATGTCAAATTAAAAATTTATTTGTGAGTCAATAATTTGTTAAAGCGGAAGCAATAATATAATCAGGAAAAGAGAAAAAGATAAGGGAAAGAGAAGAGCACACAAAGATTTATACTGGTTCGGGTATAGTCAACCCCACATCCAGTTCCCAGTCAACTCTTAACACAAGAGTGACTCCCCATTCACTATCTTTCAAATTCAGTTTACAAATTACAATCAACTCAGTAGAAGAACCAGTAAAAAGTAAACTAATTAAAAAGACAATCACCTCCTTAGAAACCCACTAAGATGAACACCTCCCTAGAATCCCACTAGGGATGAACACCTCCTCTGAACAAATCAAAGGATGAAAAACACCTCCTTAGAATCCTACTAAGCATGAACCCCTCCCTAGAATCACACTAAGAATGAAAAACACCTGATTTTCCACCAATGCAAAAAGGATGAAGGTAATAAAAATAAGACCAGACACACCTGGGTAATGGAGACAACAAATTGTAGAAGCCTGTAGAATGTCAATCTCCAAGAACAAGTGTGATTAACAATGAAAACACAGAAGGCAGTAGAGAAGAGAGTTTTCTCAAAATGTGTAAAATATCTTTGTTGCCTTGTTCAGAATTTTTTTCTCAAAACTGATTGAATGTAAATTGTATTTTCGAATTCTGTAATTGTGTATTTTTTATTTTTCATCAAAACTTAATTAAATAGAAAAATAGCATCAGAAAATGGTCGTTGGACATTAATAATATCATAGAGAATCAAATAACATTTTCCAATATGAGGAATCTATACATGAAGCAGATAAAAAGCTAGAGGTAGTTAAACATCAAATTTTGAAAAATAAAAAACCAATGGCCATGTATTGTGACACTAAAAAATCACAGACATGGACCTTGGAAAAATCATGGAACCCATGTCCAATTGGAATGTTACCCCGTGCTGTCGGGTCATCTGGCTGTCTTCCGGTTCTTGACATTTTCGACAATGAAAAACAAAATCAAGTATCATCTGGTTGTCTTCCCGTTGTTGACATTACTGACTATGAAGAACAGGATCAATTATTGGAAAAGAAAGAGAGTTGGAAATTGGCCCCACATGGTGCCAAGAGAGATGCCACATTTGACCTTCTGCAACTTGAGAAATCAACTGTTAAGAAGATGAGGGGGACCGAAGAATTTAGTGAATTAAACAATGAATTTCCATGTAAGGATTTTAGTTTAGTTTATAGTTAGTGCTTAGTTCTTAACAAGTTTAGTTCATGTTATATTGGCTATTTATATGCTTATTTGTTTGATTTATTTTAAAAGGTATGGTGCCTATAAGATACAGGTGTCCGGCCTGAAATGTGCAATATCATGAACATAAGAGAATCATCGTGAAGCTTAATTACCTGAACCACATTCATGCAATAGGAGTTTCATTCTACAAAAAAAAAATGTTTTGCTGACAAATAGTTGCATATTTTATTATACAATTACAGAAAAATATTTTGATAGAGCTAAATGACATTGATCAAGCAACCCCATGTAGATAGATAAGGTCATAAGACTTTATACTTCTCATGTAAAAAACAATTGGACTCATAATCTCTGTTTTACTGTGTGTTTGGGAACACGTCCAAGACAGTTTGCATGTAAGCTTGAAGCTAATATTACATAATGCTTTTTACCTTCCAGATATAAAGGGAGAGAGAGAGAGAGAAACATAGAAAGTTTTGGACCAAAAAGTATAAGGACTGAGATGTGGGCTGGATTAGTAGACATATGGGCAGCAGAAGAATAGAAAAAGAAGTCCATTGCAGGTAAGGCCAATAGGACTGCCAATCCTGATACCATGATGCACACAGGAGGATCAAGAAGCTTTGGACAACACTTGAAAAAAATGGTATTCATACTTTACACATTTAATACATTTGATCATATAATTGTTAATCAATATTGATTACTAGTTATAAATTGAATATTAGGTTTGATGTTGGTATGAGATAGTTTTTATGTTGTGTTTCTTAAATGGTATATTATTGTCTGAATCTTGAATTGTAAATTATTTCACAGGAAGAAGAGCATAAACATCTTATTTCTTATGGTGAATTATACAACAAAGTTCATAAAAAGAAAGATGATGAACATGTGTCTAACAAAGCAAAAAATTTCACTGTAAGTGTGAATATTTTATAAATATTAAATTTTGTTTGTTTATAGTATTGCTAAAATATTGATTTGATGTAAGAATCATATGAAAATGCTATGACTGAAAAGTATGGGGAAGATACATCAAATCATCCTATAGTTGATTCTGATATTTGGATAAAGACTACTGGTGAAAATAAAAAAGGTAGAATTTATGGTATAGGTCAGAGTTTAGATCTTGGTATTTCACATGTTTCATCTTCATCAATTGAAGGTCCCTCTTCCCAAAATCTTACCACACCTCTCACTGAAGAAATCACTACCTTAGCTACACAAATATCTAGTTTGCAAGAACAGATGAAAACACATTTGCAAGCACAAACTGATATTCAAGCATTGATGCAACCACAAATGAAGACACAAGCAGAAATGCAAACACTCATGCAACAACAAATGCAAGAAAAAATGCAGTCTTTCAAGAAAGATTTATTATCTGCCTTAAAGAAACAATGATGAAAATGTACTTTAAACATTGTTTCTATTTTTAATTGTGTTGTGAACTTTTTAGTTGAAATATTATTTTTGTTATGTTTTAATTGTTTGAAACATCATTTTAACTATGTTTAAACAATATGTGAAAAGTTGACAAGTTTGTCTTCTTTTTTCAAGAATGAGTAATAATTTAAATGTTAAACATTTGATATTATAATATTATGATGATACATTAGTAGAAATATTTATTACGCCAATAAAATTGCGAGAGAATAGATATGAATTAGCGAAAGATTAGATACGAATTAGCAAGAGATTAGCTACGGATTAGCGGGAAGAGAATTTTGATAATAATTGTGAGGGATTAGCTATGAAATTGCAAGAAAAACATTGTGAATGATTAACTACGGATTAGCAAGGAAATAATTGCGAGGAATTAACTACAGATCAGCTAGAGATAAATTGTCAAGGATTACCTACAGATTAGCGATAGAAATATTTTGAGGGATTAACTACGGATTAGCGAGAGAAATATTCCGACGGATAAGATACGGATTAGCGACAAATTAATGATAGAAAATTACGAGGGATTAACTACAAATTAGTGAGAGAAAAATTGCGAGGGATTAGCTACGGATTAGCGAGAGCGAAATTGCGAGGGATTAGCCACGGATTAGCGAGAGAGAAATTGCGAGGGATTAGCTACGGATTAGCGAGAGAAAATTGCGAAAGATTAGCTACGGATTAACTACAACTTTTGGGAGATCAATTAGCTAGAGAGAAATAAAATTTCATCACTTAAATTAGCGAGAGACTTAGCGACAGATTGATGACAAAATTTACTACAAATTTGAGAGAGAATACATCTCTATCTAATTAGCTACTTGGATTTAGTGACGGACTATTCCATAGCTATTTCGTAGCTAATCTGTAGCAAAACATACCAACGAGAGATTAGCTATAAAATAGTTACGGAATGCGTCATAGCTAATATGTAAAAGTCTTGTAGTGCTTATACTAAAAAATAGTTTGAAAATAATCATGACTAATTTATTTTTAAACTAATTAAACCTTTCCTTAGCTAGTGGTTTAGTTAAGATTATCAACAAGATGATTGTATGAATATACAAATTTAATAGCACAAAAAACTTTTGAAACATGATTTGTAGTGAAATGATAACATATTTCAATATGCTTAATGCAAGAATGTTATACAAGATTTTTAGTCAACTTGATTACACTACTATTATCAAATCTTAAAGAAATCTATTTAATTTGATATCATAGAAAAGTTGTTACATCAACCATAAAGTATGGGCAAAATAATTGTCAGTTGATATATACTCAACCTTGGCTATAGATAGAACAATACAAGTTTATTTCTTACTCTGTCATGATATTAAACTAATTTCAAAACGTGTTTCACTAGTACTTTTGTGATCAAGGTTATAACTAACAAAGTCAAAAAAAAAAAAAACCCACTAAATCTAGAAACGCACCACAAGGATACCACAACAAAACATTTATAATTCTTTTTAAGTATTTAAGAATACTTTTAGCTGTAGTAAAGTGAGATTCTGCAGATGAAGAATGATACTTAACACATACGCATACACTGAACATGATATCAGGTTAATTAGTAATCAAATATACCAAGAAATCTATCAAGCCAATGTATTTGGTTAAACCAATATGCTCACAGTCTTGGTCGAGATGACAATTAGACAACAAGGGTATAGATGATTCCTTACAATTTTTCATCTCTAACTAACAAATATTCCATTCTTCATATATTTAACTTTTATGTTGAGGAAGAAAGATAACTTACCCATCATTAATATTTCAAATTCTCCATGCATGATTGAGACAAATTACCCACATAATGGTTGTTAGTTTATCCAAAAAAAATTGTTATCTAGACTAGTACAAATATTATGTCTTTCACAATTTTTCTTACGAAGAGAGTTTTATCAATTTTTCCTCTCTCACAACCTTAAGATAGAAAAAATTGTTAAGCATCTTGTACCACTGCCTTGGAGTTTATTTCAATACATATAGAATCATCTTAAACATATAAGCATAATTAGGAAATTTGTGATGAACCAACTCAATTTTTTGATAAACAAATATTACCTTATTCAAAAATGTACTTTTAACATCCATTTGAAATAGCTTAAAATCAACCATACTTGCAAATGCAAACAATGGTCTAACTATCTCTAATTTAGAAAAAGGAACATGGGTTTCTTCAAAGTCTATTCCCTCTTCTTGGTTATACCTCTTAGTCACCTAGTCTAGCTTTGTTACGAGTGATTATGCCTAGCTCATCAATATTATTCCTAAAAGCCCGCATAGTTTCTAGGATATTCATATTGTTTTTCCTAAAAACTAATTATTATACTTGATTTTTATAAATCTTATTCAATTCATCATGTATGGTCATAACCCAGTGTTCATTATTCAAAACATCATTGTTTGACTTAGGCTCAATTTGCAAAACAAATGTCATGATATTACATAAATTATTTAAAGAATGCTTAGTTAATACTCCCTTTTAATATTATTAATGAATACATTTTATAAATGTTTTTATTAATATATTTTGTATATAATTATCTTATTTAATTATTTAATTTAACACAGTTTTAGAATAAAATTATTTTGTATTCAATTAATTGATTAAATTGTATATTTTAATTGAGTATTTATACATTAATGCACAAATGATTTTGGATTTTGATCAGTTTAAAGTCATTTCCATGAGCAAATATTTCATAAAGATCTCATTTTGGACTTTCTGATTCATTCAATGAAGATCAATTTGGCTAAATAAAAATATCAAATTTGGTTCAAATAACCTACCTAACTTTTTCGCTCAATGAAATGTTACAAAATTTACGAATCAAATTTTACCTTCTCTAATTTGTTATTTATAGATCTTGTATGGGCCTTACGCTTTTTGTAACCTTCCTTGTTATATTAATAGGCTTGAGAAAGACAAAATACATAAGTTATGTGAATATTTTTATAGTTTTTAGATATAATTCAAATTTTCCTACAAGTTATGAGGGTAAACTATTCAAGTTCTTCCTTAGAAATTATACATTTCTCCAATAGGGTGAGACAATCACGATCTTAATAGCAGCTTCCTTGAAGTAAACTTGGTTGAGCTCTACTAAATATTATAAGAAGTGGAAGGATGTCCTACAAAGATACTACATAAGTCAATAAAGGAACACAAGCATATGAATATCAAAGGTAGTAAATAGATGTTTTGGGTCTAAGAAGCTAGATAGGTATATAGGCCACTTGAACTCAGAGTCTAACTCTAGTGAAGACGAGTGAATTTATTTATTATTGAGTTTATATCCATATGAGCGATTAAGTTAATGCTCGAATTCATGTATTGTTTAATGAAGGTTAAGTTGTCCTTTAAGTACATTTTCATCTTCTCACAAGTGTATGATTACCTCTTACACGTGCTTAATGAGGGGTTTTAGGAATGTTGTTTGGCATTAAGAATCATGCCTAGATTAGGTAAAAATCTTTTAACATTCTTACTTCTTGTTGTATTGTTTTAAATCTTCTACGAGTTTTCCCTTTTCCAAGTGTTCAAGTCTTCCTTTATGAGTCAAGAAGAGAGTCTCGCTTCATTCTTACCCCTTAGTTTTTTATTAAGAAGTTATGTTTTTGTATGTTCATGAGTCTTATATCGCCAAGG